TTTCGTCGGGTAAAGCTAGCCAGGCAAATAAATAGATTTGTGATGCATAAACGGCTAATCCGCTGTTGAGATCGACGTAACTAGAAGCATCATCGTAACCGTTTCGATAGATATCTCTGGCAGCCAGCCACAAATCCTGAAAAGGCCACATTATGAACGCGATAGAATTACCGTATGCATATGGTGCGCCTTGTTCTCTGCGCATGAGGTAGATATACTCGTACTCGGATGAATATCTCCATATCTGCACCCAGAAGGATGATGTGGAGACCGTAAATATGAACTTCAAAACGCTGTGCCACGAGTTCCCGAATGTTTTAGGGAAACCTCCGTTCCTCGCCCAAAAAGGCTGCCCAGTGAGAATAATAAATAAGACGATAAGAATAAATGAAATCACACACAATGGGATCTTTTGGAAAAGCCATGGGTGGTTATCTTTCCAAAGCCAACGTCTGCGGAGCCTTGTAGCCTTAGAAACCCAACGGGGGGTTTTTATCCAAGAAAAGGTCAAAAAAAACCCGAATTTTTCAGGAGCGATGGTTGGTTGGGTACTAGCTTCTTTGTCGAGAGGAGGTAAATGGACGATACTAAATTGAGGTTCTTCATCTCCCAGGTATTGTGCTTGGAGTTTAAATCGAAGCGGCCCGAGTTTCCTTTCGAGTTCTTCCTCACAGATTTCCTCGTCTATATCTAGCTCTTCAAATACATGATAGATTGAGTTCTGAGGACTGTAATTTCTGGTGAGTCTGATGAGAGAACCGAAGTCGTTGAGGTTTCGTAGCACTCCAGATTTCCTCTTATGAAGTATTGTGGCCAATATCCCCATAAGTACAGACGCAAACAGCAGTACTCCTTGTAAAGCGTATTTGTAGACTGGAACCATTCTCATTTTATTCTCATCATCATACCCAAAACTCCGGGAAACCAGCTGTAGAAGAACTATCGTATCGAGAATCAGGGCCATAGATGTACAGAGAATTGTCCAATGGCGATTTCTTATGGCGATGTATGGTATGAAAAAGATGGACGGACGGAAGTAATCGACACAAAGACTTGTCGAGCCAGTCGCTCCGTCCGGCTGTGACATATGGTAAAAGGGCTCCATCTTTTTGACGGCATAGTCAAGCTCAAGGAAAAAGAGCCCCGAGAAAATAAGTATGAAGTTTGATAAAAACTCAGGTACGAATGACGAAACCAGCTCACGGGTCTCGTATTGAGGACCTTTTCTGAATAGCCCGCGGTCTCTAAGGGAAGTTTGATGAACATATTCAATCATGCCGATCGATATAAGAGGCAGTATGCACCAGAAACACAATGCCCAAGTACTCATAACCCAAGGACGGTAGTTTGGTGATTCTGGAGTAGGATTATCTGTACCTATTTCTCAACAGCTATAATTTAGTTTCAGAGACAACAATTGAAAAGATTCTATATTACCTTCATATATATCTGGGTTATGTCTAGTAATGGAAGAAACATTTGAGCCGGCGGTTTCAACAGAAGGAGGTCTCATAGTAACACTCCTAGATGTGCGATCAGTGCTTTCTGTTCTCATATTGTTGGTATGTAATCCGAATTGGAAGTGTAGAAAGGATTTAAATGATTAAATATATGTTTTACAGGGCGGATGATCTTTGAGCTGGTAGTAAGTTTTTGGCTGCGCACGAAAGCTACAGAATTGAGACATGATACTTGGCAAAGTTGGCAGCTTTAACAGCATAAGGGATAAGATAAGCGCCCACTCTCATGCATACATGTGTGGCGCCTTTGCGCTGTTCTTTTGCGATTTGAGGGTGCGTTAATGACGTGTGCCTAGATAAAAAAAATGTAGTTGTCGAATCATTTAGGAATCAATAACATGGCTTTCAAAAGGTGGCACTGGGCTGCTGAAACCCGCCCAATAAACTTTTGTAGATATAAAGATATTGAGATACGATATTGTCATAGCCTCCGGGCTGCATACAATTATTGGGATATGATGGCCGAGATGTTTGGTGGCTTGCCTGAACTGTACAGCTGTCTATGTACTGCGCCGCACTCTGATGTTCTCTCTTCTTTAAAGGTAATGCAACTATACATGCCCTCCGTCATTTTATAACCCTTCAAGTACCGTAGGATTTGAGAATATATATTCGTTGCGCCTCAGCAGGGGTATAAGCCAACCAGAGGCGGTATTTGGACGTCAATGTGCAAGTTTTGGTAGGGAGTGCCCCTGCTGCAGCGCAACGAATTTTTTCAAATACTGCTGTAGATCCAAAAGCAGCTGAAAACAGAAAAAGGAAAGAGAGAGAAAAAAATAGTTTATATGTACATACCTGTGTCAAGATACCTCATAGTACAGTCGCAACTCAATATGCCGGATTGCTAAGATTCTAAGGATTTCGTACGGGATAGCAAAAAATCCGGGATAGCAAATTGATTTTGCAGTAGGAAGAATAGTATTCTCAGAGGATCTCGTACGGGACAGCAAGGGATCCGGTGTATTGAGTTCCGGCATATCGAGTTGCGACTGTAGCCTCAAACCACAACTGTGTTATGTCACACTCTCAGTGTAAGTATTTCTAAAAGCACTGCGAAGGACTCGGGCTTGTTTTTTACAGATTGGGAAGGAGCCGTAGGTACATGTAGGTAAATACCTACATACGTGTTAGCTGGTGAGAGTCTTTACATACAGTGACAGAAACATGGATAAAATGACTACCGCAGTCTTTGGCAATGCCTTCTGATACTGTACCGCCACACAAGGCGCTAAATTACCCGAATTACCTCTTGTTGATGTTATTGTCAATGCGATGAACACATAAAAATATTGATAGGATACTCGCGCGTTAATTAGGTCCTAAGAAATTTTGTAAGGTCATTGCGACCAAGAATTCTCAGGGCTTAATTTATGCGTGAGTATTGTCGGAGACATTCTAATCTCGAGTTCGTAAAGTATTAACAGATGTCTAGCCCTAGAGTACAACTTAAGTGTCATCAAGGCTCCTAAAAATGATTTCCAGAATATACCGCTTCTTACGATTAACATTTTGTACTTTCCCTCATAAACCCGTGTCCTTATCTTTATGTTGTAATCCGGTTCATAAACGAAACACCTAAGTGCAGCATAATTTAATACCTATGTCACCAGGTCCCCAATTGTTGCCTTTTTCTTTCTTCTTTTTTGCTTTTCCTAAGAAAATATTTAGATTTACCGATCATAGCCGGAATCCCCAAGGATATCCCATGCTTCTAACCAGACCACGCCTCGGTTCTTTGGTTGGATGCAGAATGTAAGTTTACCCGTGGCCAGAATAATGGCAGGTCACTGTTCTCATAGATTAATAATACTCGGGAGGCTACTCTACTTAAATAGTGTACGCCTTCACAGCTATATTCCCTGGGGGTTGTACAGTATTGGGGTTCGACCCGGCCAGAACATCATGCCGCAGCGGCTATCCTAAAAAAATATTCGCCCAGTGTTTTAGTTGTCTCGGCTCCGCATTAACGTATTCAATCTTATTATGATTAGGCCTTCGCCACATAAAAGCCAGCTTAATTTTTGTGTGCGCAAAAATTCCATATTAATCTCTTGGAAGAACCAGAATCGCTATCCAAGACTGAGCAAAGGAGTAGAGACGAATCATATGTGAGTAAAAATCCAATGATGTTTCTAGAATTTACGATGGTGCATGCGGTTCTCAGGAGAGATTTCCAACTAAACGTCCACCTACTCGGCCACCCATTCAGAGATTTCTAGCCCCGAAGAGTTGTGAAGTTCCTCCCTAAAAGGTTCCATGAAAAGTCAGCAAGTTCACTTGAAAACAGGAACCTCATGAGCACGGAATCGGCACCTGACTCTAAGCCCAGGTGTAATCTCCAGTACTTACATTGCCGTCAAACAGTACATGGCAGATCTGATGTATCCCCATATAAACCATAGCTTGTAATCAGTGTGGTCCACGAGGAGCATCGAGGCGAGGAAGATCGGGCGTATCGAGTTTCCTCTGTCTCTGAGAAGATTTTTGGGTTGCCTCGAGCCATATACACCTATGCCTCGAGCTGTATCGATGCTCCTCGAGGCAGGTCTTGGCAGTGGGTTCTCAATAGGTCTTGTCTGGTTCGATCCCCCGGGATGTATATTTACACGAGTATCTCTCTTCTGGCAGCCTGAAGAATATATATTGAGTTGACTCGAGTCGAATCGAGTCGAGGAATATATCATGTATCGAGGCACCGGGTGTTGAGGGTAAGTGATCAGAATCTGATAAGTGAATGTTGCGGTGAATACGCCTATTTGTCTTATCAGATTCTGATCACTTTTCGCTACACCCTAGTACATCAGCCTCGTTGAAAAGTATACCTCGTGCCACCTCGAGGCATTTGCTTTGAGGTGAGACACGAAGTGCTTCGCCCTCGTGGACCACACTGCTTGTAATGACCTCGTAAGAATATAAAGGCTTATTACAGCTTGTCGAGGTCTTGGAGTATCTAACTTATCAGAGGTTTCTAATATGGGAAGCTAGGAGTGACTTGACAGCCCGAAGGTTTGGATAGTTACGCGGTTCTGCGGCTCGACAGTCAAAGCCATCCATATATCAATGACGGTGTGCAAGCCCGTCCAGACATTTAATTTGTAGAGGTAGGACAGTCAGCAATAAATTCCGTCCTCAACAATCGTAAACCATCGTCCGCTCTAAGCACATAGTTCTTGAACTCAGTATTACAGGCGATCGAGGGGGTGTTGTAATCAGAATGTAGGTACAACGGGAATGGAAAAATGATAATCCGAAGAATAGCCAAGCTGCACTAAGCCCTATTCAGCCGTTTCGTCACAGGCAAAAAAAAAATCCCGACCACGTCAACTGATCCGAGCGAGTATCCTGGCCCGGTCGAACCCCTCCAAAGGAACCCCTCTAGCTCTGGAAACAAAAACAAAAACGTTTCTATTCTAGTCCCAGCTTAACAAGACCACATCCCCTTTGCCAGTCATTAATGCTCATCTCCGCCCATCGCTTGAAATGAGTGCCCGTCTCCTCTCATCCAGAGCTGTTTCCTCAGCGATTTTACGCCGGCCTCAAATTGCCACTCGCCGTGTTCTTTCGGCTGCACCTTTATCCACATCTACCATAAAATCTAGTAGTACTACCTCCGGCGGCCTTCTACGTCTTGAGTCTGTACTGAGGTCTCAACGGCAAACATGGCCCAACCAGATCTATCGTGCTCACAGTGCCGGGGCTACGACAGTTAGGGCTTTGAGCTTTCACCGGGCTATACCAAAGCTCATGATGAAATTTATTAGGATACCAGCTGCGTTTGGTGGCGCTATGATTGCAGGTTTGGCTTATGTACAGTATCAGGCCCAGCGTCAGTACCAGCTGCCCATCTAGCGAACTCGTGAAGGGACTGTTACTAATTATGGTTAAACAGAGGCGGGCAATTACGCTATAGGGGTCTTCAATTCGGCTGGCGAAATTGTAGGAACGACTTATTCTGGGGCCAAGCAGAAGGTCAATGATATTTACGGAGGAGTAGCCGGTGGAATCGGCTCAGTTGAGCTTCCCGAGATGCCTGAATGGATGCAAGGCTTGTTTTCCGGGGGTGGAAAGGGCTCCGAGAATCCGGGCGGTGGTAGCGGTCAGGACCCAAAGGGAGGAGGCCCTAGAAAAGCTGCGGCTTCGGTTCTAGCAGGCGCAGCATTATACGGCGCTGGTGATGATGACGAGCGGACCGATCAACAAGCTGCCAAAGATGACCAAATGATGGTTTTGACTAGGAAGATGATTGAAATACGGAGCATTCTGCAGAAGGTTGGACAGACGGGGGTTCTTCAACTTCCTTCAATCGTGGTTATTGGCTCGCAGAGTTCAGGAAAGAGTTCAGTTTTGGAGGCAATTGTCGGTCACGAATTCTTACCGAAGGGCTCAAACATGGTTACCCGCCGGCCGATTGAATTGACCCTTATCAATACGCCCGAGTCACCGGTCGAATATGGCGAGTTTCCAGCTCTTGGACTTGGACGCATTTCAGACTTTACCCAGATTCAGCGGACACTTACCGACCTCAATCTTGCTGTTCCTGAGGCCGATTGTGTGTCTGATGATCCTATACAACTCAATATCTACTCCCCTACTGTCCCAGACCTATCGCTTATTGATCTTCCGGGTTATATCCAAATTAGTGCCCATGATCAGCCCGAAGAATTGAAGGGAAAGATTGCGGCTTTATGTGATAAATACATCCAGGCACCTAACGTTATTCTTGCAATTTCAGCCGCTGATGTCGACTTGGCGAATTCCACGGCCTTGAGGGCAAGCAGAAGAGTTGACCCAAGAGGTGAAAGGACTATTGGTGTTATCACAAAGATGGATTTGGTGGATCCCAAACGGGGAAGCGCGATTTTGAGGGATAGAAATTACCCTCTGCGGCTAGGCTATGTGGGGGTTGTCTGTAGAACGCCATCTTCAAAATTAGGCTTCCTAGGCAGCAAAAACGTCAACATCTCCAACGCTATTAGCAAAAACGAAAATGCCTACTTTGGAGCACACCCTGAATTTGCTGCACCTGACAGCCAACTAACAGTCGGAACTCAAAATTTAAGAAAGAAGCTCATGACTGTTCTAGAGCAGACTATGGCATTGAGTCTACGAAGCACAAGTAATGCAATTCATCAAGAGCTTGAAGAAGCAACCTATGAATTCAAAGTACAGTACAATGACCGACCATTGACTGCAGAGACCTATCTGGCGGAATCACTCGACAAATTCAAGCATTCCTTCAAGGATTTTACTGAACACTTTGGCCGGCCACAGGTCAGGCAGCTTCTCAAGCACGAACTTGATCAGAAGGTCCTTGATCTCCTGGCATCCCGATACTGGAACAAGCCTCTTGGAGAAGACAAATCACGAAGCCGTCTTGACGAAAGACCCTTATCTGAGCTTCCAAACGCTGACTCGGAAAGTCTTTTCTGGCACCGTCGACTTGACGCCTCAACATCTTCTCTCACAAAGCTCGGTGTCGGCCGTCTGGCTACCAATGTGGTCGCCAACGCCCTCACTCAGCACATGGACCGTCTCGTCTCTGAGTCTACGTTCAAGGAACATCCCTTTGCAAAGCAGGCTATCCAGGAAGCAACTAACGCGATTCTAAACGAGAGATTCTATTCCACTAGCGACCAAGTCGAGAACTGTATCAAACCTTTAAGTTTGAAATTGAAGTGGATGATCGCGAGTGGGCACACAGCAGGGAGAATGCCCAGCGGTTATTAAAGGAGGAACTGAAGGCGTGTGAAGAAGCTTTGAAGAACATGAAGACCACTATTGGTGGAAAGAAGTTAGGCCAGGTCATGACCTTTGTGGATAAAATTAGACAGGGAGAGCATGCAGATGTGAAGGAGGGAACGGAGGCTTTTGGCTTTAGTCAAGCACTTTTGCAAAAGGGTAAGCTTCAATATTCAAACTGGTGCATTTAGAGTGGTGCTGATAAGATCTCTTACAGGACGTGAGGGTGTCTTCCTAAGAGACAGAGCAGACCTCATCAAGATGCGTCTGATGGCTCTCAAGAGCAAGCAGTGTGCAAACCTAGTTAACAAATATCACTGCCCGGAGATCTTCATGGATGTAGTCGCCGAGAAACTGACCTCCACGGCCGTTCTCTTCCTGAACGTCGAGCTACTGTCAGAATTCTACTACAACGTATATTCCCCTTTTCTCATCCTTCCATTCATCAACTAACCCACCCCTCAGTTCCCTCGAGAGCTTGACAACCGCCTTGGTCGCCACCTCTCAATACAGCAAGTCGAGGCCTTCGCTCGCGAAGACCCAAAGATCCGAAAACACATTGACCTTCAGAAGCGAAAAGAGCTCCTCGAGCTCGCATTAGAGAAGATGGAGAGCCTCATGGCCCTAGAGAAGAGCAAGAAGCAGGCCCAGGGGGGAGCTGCAGCGGAACATAGTCCAAGTGTGAGAGGTAGCAGGTGGGGTGGTATGTTTTAGATGGGTATGAAGGGATGCGGCGTTTTTGTGAGGCTTTTTCTTCTTTTTTTCCCTCAGTTCCTTTCCATCCTTGGTGTGTGTTTTGAGGCGAGCGGGGCGGTACTTGACTTTACTTACAGATAACGTAAATTCCCAACTCCTTCTTGATAAGGCTTTGTTTTTGTATGTGCTTTTGATCATTCTTGTTTTATGTTTTTTTTAAGTCTTTCTGTGCCTGATATGTATATTGCTTTATGATACGATACTGCCCTGTGTGTTTGATATGCGCTGGATATGAGACGACGATATGATGAGGAACGTAGAATACATAACATGGAATACGAGATTTAAATTTTTTGGCGAGTCGTCTCTTGCTCTGTGACCTGCCCAACCAATCTGGATACCAGTCTTTCAATCAACATCTCAAACTTTCCTCACACCCGCGTGCATCCCTGCTGTCTTTCGGGACTCAAGGTCCCTAGAAAAATGTACCGCGGTGGCAGAGACCACATGAACGGAGGCGAGGGCCAATCAAGCAAAGAACCAGTGATAGCACTCATGATAAACAGAGGCCTAGGTGTTGTAGCAGAATGGATCTCGGTATTAAATCAATGGTATTTGGGTCCAGCACAAGTTGACTGCTTACGGTAAGTCGTAGTAAGGTCTGCACGGTTCACTTAACGCTCTAACCCCCTCTTTGTCCTAAAGAACCTGTCCGGGATTATCTTAAGCACAGTCATTCGCTAGTAATTCTAGTTTCTGTGGTGCCAAGATATTGGCGAATTAGCGTGTCGAGTGATATGCCATGATCTGGGCGGATGAATGGAACCATTTGGTTACGCATGATTGGAGCGGGCGACCAACAAACTCTTCACCCCGCACATCACAAACAAAAAAATCCGGCTTAACCTAATATGTACTACCCTTAATTCTGCGAACCTACTCGCCCTCTGATTGGCCAAGAGCGGAACCTAACCCTGACCTCTGCGTGGCAATGGGCTCACCCAAAATGCCACCCCCAAATGCCACGGAATGTCAAATTCAACTGCGGCTTTATACTGGGGGGTATTGCGCACTATTACCAAAATAAAAAAAGACCCCAAGCGGTACGTTTTGGGTGGTTATCCCTTGAACCGTCAGGCCGAATTGTAATCAGCGGAACCTAACGCAAAGTAGAAATCGTGATATAAGGCACGCCTGTAGGAGCAGCAATGACAGAAACCATCACAGAGCTCGTGTGTGATGAATTATACGTTGCAAGACAGACATACATATAAATCTTGCGTTTACCATATCACGATTTCCATTTTGCGTTAGGTTCCGCTAATTACAGTTCGGCCTGACGGTTCAAAGGATAGTATCTCTTCTTTCATACACAAAAAAAGAACAAAAAGTACTGTGCGGTTCCGGGACGAACTGGCACTACTCCCACCCCTGGGTCGAACCCTGGCCTTCTGTGATCGAAAGCAGGGCTAAACCTCGCGGTGTTCTTTGGCGAGGGTTAACCGTTAGACCACTCGCCCATGTGTGTTGGTGGCTAGAAATGATATTTGTGCGCCAAGGATGGTTGGCTAGTACGTATGTACTTCATTTCTTTATTTCAACAACTCATGCCCACAAAACTTTCTCTAGGTTACTAAAATCATAATTTTAAAACATGCGTACTCGTAGAAAGAAATCTCAAAACGTGTCTATCTATCTAGTAGTACCGCCAAAAAAAAAAAAAAAGAGGTATTACAACATGTACTTCTAGATCTAATCCATAGCCATCTTAGCCAACTCCTCTGCCACCTCGTCTACACTGCTCTTTCCGCCCCTCAGCACAACCTCGCTGGTGCCGACCTTGGATCCAAGCTCCTTCCATCGTGCTGTGTATGCAGCGCGGCGCTCGCCAGCGATGCGCAGGATCTCGGGCCAGTATTTGGGGTTCTGGTACTCAAAGTTGCTGTCTCCGCCGAACTTGATGTCGAGCTGGTCGGCGGGGACGTATTTGCGGAGGTCCTCGTTGAAAATGAGTTTTTCACGGGTCTAGAGATTGTTAGTGGGAATTGGTTGTTGGGCGTCTAAAGCGGGCTTACCAAGGGATCAATAAATGGGTTGATGGCCTTGAAGAAGAGTGACACGAACCAAGGGACTGAGTTGTGTTAGTTATAGTTCGGCTTCTATGACCTGTAGAGGGATACTCACTGTTGATGATCAACGCCCTCCCCAATCTCTCGGGATAGTGCATCTGCAAAATGTTCAACACCTCTCTTCCCTGCCCAACCGAAGGACTCGTGCTGCTTGTCGCACTCTTGAAGTCGATTAGGAGCGCCAAAGTCTCCTGTCCCGGTCCCATGATATCAATGACTCTCTCAAGCATGTACACCAGCGCATGCACCTGTCTCGGGCCCTTCTCGGTATTCTGTCTCCCGGGGTTCAGGTAAATACACGGCCGCGCGTCGTTGTCGAAACCCAGTGTGTACATCTTTCCTGTCTCAAGCTCCGGCGAGATATAGTCTCCAGTGTGCTCGCGGACACCGTACTCCCGGCGCCAGGTCAACGTGCCCTCCACACGCTTCTTTGCGTTGGCGACGTTCCACTTTGTGGCGCGGAGGTAGCGGAGGAGGCATTCCCGCGTCAACCACATCTTCTCCTCATCGTCGAGGGGCTTGGATTCGGCACCCTTCTCGGTGGAGGCGGGGACGGACTCGAGCTTTTCGATGTAGGCAAGAAGCTCGGCATATTTAGTCTCCTGTTCGGTGGTTATAGCCTCGGTCTTCGGGGGGTTGCAATCGGGCTTGGGGTTAATGAAAGGCGTGTAGCGTTTGTTGTCCTTGGCCTCCTCTGCGGCCAACTCAGCGTTTGGAATGACCTCTGGATGGATTGTGAGTTTAGGGGCGGCGGAAACTGGTGCAGGGGTCTCGGCAGGAGCAGCTGCAGGGGTGTCGGAGACTGGTGCGGCCTCGGCTGGGGGTGCGGCCTCGGTTGTTGTTTTTGTTTCAGCTGTCGGTGTCGTCGTCTCGGTTGCCGGGGCCTTCTCGTCAACGACTGCGGGGACCACAGGGGTCTCAACGGGGGTCTCAACGGGGGTCTCGGCAACTGGTGCTGTGGCCTCTGTCATGTTTGTGAATGTATGGGGTTCAATTGAGTGGATTAATCTGTTCAGAGCTCAGTGAATGTTAGATGAGTCAACAATAACAGAGAAGACTCGGGGGTGGGTGATAAAATGGGAAATCCATACGCAATTAACAGCTATATATTCTATAAAAGCAGCAGCGAGACGTTTTGAAGCACCGGTGGTGGAGGAGAAGGTGAGAAGGAGGAGAAGGGATAAGAGAAAGGACGTGGCGGTGGTTGTGTTGTTGTATCTACAGCAGCAAATTGAAGTAGAGTAGGTGCCCAGTGATAATAAGTACTCTGGATGCACGCCCTAGCCACCACAACCACAACCGTCCTTTCTTCGGCAACCCTTACCTTCTGCCTCTCGTCCTATTCTCGGGATGTTGGCTTGCCGGGTTGTTGGCACAGGGATGAATCCATATCCCCTGTCGCTTCATGCAATCTCCGCTGTTCAGCACCGGAACATCCTCCAATCGCTGCACCATCAGATAGGCGTAGCATGCAGCCCGTACCTAATCTGAATTGGGGCCACCATCCCGAATGGCGTTGACTAAGGATGTAACTCTAGAGCACTCTACTCTAAATGAATGAGAGCTGTGCCGTATGACAACTTTAATTTGACCACGCAGTTGAAAGGTTGGAGGCGCCGGAAGCACTTGCCGGTTTATCTATCCAAGGTGCGATACCAGCAGATTAGGTAGACCAGAGCATCAGATCGATCCCATCTAAAGTACCGAGTTCTACTCTAGGGAGGCCCCGATGCGAGGGATGACGTGAGCAGGGGGAAAGCTTGTGGTTTGGATGCTCGATGTGAGGCCTTGAGTGATACAATATGTTTGGTGGTGAGTTGAGTTACACAGATGGATGTCGCAATGGAATCTCCCGCATGGCTTTTTAAGGTCTCGAGTCCCACAAAACATCCCAGCATGGCGGTCCAGTGGGAAAGTTCACTTTTTATCTTGTCTATGGGAATTCATAACGTCTCTCGGGATGACCCTCTTGCTATTACCCTGAGCACTGACATAGCTCAAATGTTCATTATCACGCGTAGAGCGCAGAAAACCTAGAATTAGGACAGTTCCTTGGATATTGGAACCAAAGTCAAAGTCTCAAGTGCACAATATGACCTCGTATTTATATAATGTAAGCGGTGTAACGAGTTGATGCACTTCTCTTGAAGATGTGCAAATATTGAAGGTTTCCCGGTAAGAGCTCTCTATCTGCATTTCTAAGGAATTGGATCCATTTACCAGTCACTATGATGTTAGCAGTAGCAGTGCTTTATTGATCGTGATATGTAAACACTTCATCGAATAATGAAGTGAAGAGCTCCAGAGCCGTGTCCATTTTTGGTGACATCAGACCAGGCACGTGATCCTCTCAGGCACGTGACCCTCTCAGGCCCTAGTGCAGATCCCTGGGCACCCTTTTTCGCACTACACCAAACCCGGTCATGGGACCTCATGGCTCACTCAGGGTCCATCCAACCTGTCCATCTTGTTCATCTTGTCTAGCGCATCCGAATAGTGAGTGATAATCTATCTATCTGATATAGAGGACTCTCTTGGAATCGTAGAACAGATAACCAAGAAAACAATTTATCTGTGACGTCGTAAAGTACCGGAAGCTGAATCTTTTTATTCGGACTGGCAAGAAAAACACCGCAGATAGGGTGGAATTTGGTTGTGTTGCCAAGGAAAATTCGCTCGCGTGAGTGGCGGAAGAAACCCGAAAATCGCGACATTCAGCTCCATCTTGTGGTGCTAACTCCTGCATGATACTCTACCGATAAAGAAGAGGACTTCTCCTGGCTACGTAACAAGCTCTAGTTAGCTATTTCTCTTCAGCCCCTTCACTCTCTTTCCTCTCCTCTCTTCTATAATACACTCATTATTGACATCCCAATTCCACGTTCTCTCAAGGCTCATAACCATGTGTAAGCTCTCCCCCAAGCTCCCCCTTGACAAGTTAGGTTGGAATGACTCACTAACACCCCCCCCCCCCAGGTCGCTTCCTCGTCTACAAAGGTTCCAACCCAATCCTTCTCTCGGACCTAATCCTCAACCCTACGCACTCAATCCTCACCCAATCTTATGACTGCCGTCTCCGCCTGGACCGCCGTCCTCACAATGGCGATGGCTTCGGCGTCGGCTACTACACGACCCCCGAATTATCCTCCGAGCCCTGCATCTTCACGTCCACCACCCCCGCCTGGAATTGCGTCAACCTTGCCCGCATCGCCAAAAAGACCGTCTCAAGTCTAGTCTTCGCCCATGTCCGCGCTACCACCACAGGCGCCCTCAGCGAGAGCAACTGCCACCCGTTCTCCTACGGTAGTCTGATGTTTATGCACAATGGTCACTTGGCAAACTTTACCAGAATCAAGAGGAGGCTAGTTAGCAGCATAAAGGACGAGTTCTTCTTGATTGTTGAGGGCTCAACAGACAGCGAGTGGGCGTTCGCGCTGTACCTTGATACCCTTGCGTCGCTGGGCGTAGACCCAAAGAATCCGCCTATGCCGACTGGGTTCGGACATACACTTCTGCGCCAGGCGATGTTGGGGACAATCCGGAGGTTGAATGAGTTCTGGAGTGAGATTGGCGTGGATGAGCCAAGCTTGCTGAACTTTGCAGTGACAGATGGACATAGTGTTGTGTGCACACGCTACGTGACATCGCAGACAGAGGAGGCAGCGAGTCTATACTTTTCGTCCGGAACAAGGTTTCACGAGTACAAAGAAGGAGGGTTCTATCGGATGGAACGACATGATCGTGGACAAGATCTTGTTATGGTTGCCAGTGAGCCATTGACGTTCGAGCGTGGTGATTGGGTTACTGTGCCAACAAATAGTGTGCTGAGTATCAACAAGCAGACTGTGTTGATTCATCCGATTGTTGGTAAGTAGAGCCTTTTCTTGATGATTGTTGAATGTTGTTGACATTTATAAAGATCAATATTACCAGTCAAATCCCTCGTTTGCGCGCTCGACAGCACTCGCTGAGTCGAAGGGCATGGTCGGACAGGGCCCTGAAGCTCCCGCCACGGGCATACCCACTTCCGTCCCCGTCCCCGCCCCTACCCCCTCTCTCTCTACCTCAACTTCTACAAACGGTGCACCTACGCCTAAAACTAGCGGTACTACAACACCAAAATCAGTAGCAACCCCACCATCAGTAGAAAAAGTACAGCCCAAAGCCAAGAAGGAAATCCCTCATAAACTGCAAATTTCAACACTACACAACAAGAAAGAACAGGAAATATGGAAAGAAACCGGCTTGATTGTCCGAGTAGTTCTTCTGGCGCTGGTGTCGTTGATGGTGTTAGTGAACAGGGGGTATCTCGATTTGGAGAGTATTCCGGAGGCGCTTGACGGGTGGATAAAATCTATGCAGTGATTTGATTTATGTGGATGTGAGGAGTTGTCTCTTTTGTACGGAATTGGGATGGCGTTTAATTGTTAATGTGTGATATCCAGGTCAACGTGTGTTGGCTATCCCTTTGTTTTGTACTTTAGCTGGTGTGCGTATTTAGTAATTGAACGATTGATTGATGGTTACCTGTTTATGTGTGCAGTTTATATAAGAGTTTTTATAAAATCGCTGGACGCCATGGCCAAAAAAGGTCTGAGTCTGGTGGTTCAGACGTTCGTAACCTATTACTCGTCCAAGCTGTTTCTACTTCTGACTGACAATAAAGTACATGTATCTACATTAAACTTCTGTATCGCCAAGCCATACCCCTCGTGAAGGATCACAAGGTTAAACTTTAGCTAACACATTCGTAGGCATTAAGAGACACCCGTCTGTCTCCGGCCTACTCAGCCTTCTTCTGATTGGCTATTAACCTGGCTTTCCTAAATGCGTGGGTGAGACTTGGGCGAAAAACATGTTTTAAGACTTCCATTTTGATCACTGAGGTTTCTTCTTTTTGAACCTATATATAGACCGGAACATGTTTGGTGGATTTGATACTCACGTTTTATGGGCCTCTTGTAGACTCTAGAGGAAACGTCGCGGTATACTACGAACTCGTGCCAAGCTATATAAAAGCCTGGGCACGAGGCGGTCAGTCCATACGTACCGTAGATGTATCCATGCAGGGTGTCGGAAGATTAATTTAAATGTGCAGCGCAGAGACACCCCCCGTGCTCAAAATCTGGATTTAGGAAGCGTGCCAATGCGTTGTGCCAAAATATGTCTTCCCTCTTATGTACTCGCTGTAAAAGGCAACTTCGACGTCCGCCGAGACGAATTACTGCGGTAATATAATTAGGCGCTGTGTACCCAGGCTGGTGTTAGAGAGTGTTGCCTGACAACGCCCAAATACCCCCACATATCAAACACAATTGCAACACACTCCCTAAATTCAGAATTCAGGTACGGAACGTCTCTGCTACGCCTGAAAATACATTGGGCAGCTGCAGTGTTTGAAAGTAAAATATCCACCTTTAAGATAAAAAAGTCGCAGTGAGGCAGCGAAAATTAAATATATGGTAAAGAACCCAGAAAAGCCTTGATGACAGACATTCTTTCCCCTTTATATACACTCATTTGAAGATTTGTTCTCTAATGGTGTAGTTAGACTAAGCCAGAAACGGCCCGGGCTAGAGCCAGAGTTAGAAATGATTTTATTGGTTGGCCGACAAAAAGGTATTTCCAACTCCATCTTGGCTTTCCAAATATCCAGCAGAAAGGTCGTTTGAAAAGCTGGGATCGAGCCAGAACAACAAAATTTGGTATGACGTGGTTTTTTTTTAAATTTCAGAGATTTCAACAGACCTAGTGCCGATTCATCCAGCTAGTACTGTTAAAAGAACTCCGGCTTTTCAACCCAGCGATTTTTTGTTTTTGGGCAAATTGACCAGTCAAAACCAAAAAATGTCAACAAAAGTGCACCGACCCCTTTGCAATTTGCCCTGGCTGGATATCAACTATGGTTGGCCATTCGCCATTCAACAAGTTTCGCCATTGTCCCAGAAAATACTATATATGGTTACGAGCACCACTGCAGGAGCAGCAACAATTACTCTGTCGACTGCTCCAAGTAGACTCGCGTTTGGGGGTACGTATGCCGAAGATGGAGAATGCCGAACAAGGATTATTTGGGTGAGAAAAACAGGTATTCTAGGTACTTGTGGTTTGTCTCTCGCGATAGCAACAATCAGCCTCACCATTTTCTTAGGCCCACCAACCACCACCATAACCATGATAATTAAAGAAGGAGATAATTACTTTTGAGCATAAACACGACTATGACCTTAATACCCTTGGCTTTAGCTATTGGTTGTGGTTTTATAGGGTCTCAAGTTTGGTGGGCTGAAAGGTTACCAATTGGGATAATACTTACATGTATTGACCGGCAACGCAAGTAGTTAGTACTGCAACGTTGAGTTCTAGTACAATTCGGCATTCTCCATCTTCGGCATACCCCCCAAACGCGAGACGAGGTCTAGAAGACGGCCACGGTGCATGGTACCGATGAGGTGCAAATAAACCATGACACACCGGCACCACGTATGGTTTGAATGCAGGTACATACGTGGAAAATCGCAGAATCTCATGATCATGATCAGGATCAATAACGAATCGGACTGTAGCTAGGTTGGAATACCACTTACCCATTGGTCAAGACGGTCAAAAGTTACGCTTTTGGTCTGTCGGATTGAGCTAGACTCAACAAGTGCGATTCAGCTGTGGTAGTAGCGCATCGGGCTGTTACAATGGGAGGAAACCTCCGGTTTTGGGTGATTGATTGATTGATAAGTAATTCATTAATTGTGTGCAGCCCGGAGGCTATGACAATATCTGACATACCAAGACATGGAAATGGGGATATAACAGTAGAAAATAAAATAGAAATCTGATAATACAGTTCAAAAGTCACTGTCCTTTCCGTAAACAATTTATCCTCTTCCTTATTCTATCTCCAGTGTTATTAGACGACTTCCCATGAGCAATAGAGCGCGTTCTATCGCCCAATAGACCTGATTTGTCGTTCTATCAAATAGAACCCGAGTGTCTAAAAGATGTGATAGAGCACCATATTTGAGGAGAGGGTCTATGGGATAGAACATTTCTTATTCGCTTGGATAGAACTTTGAGCATCCCCACCTCCCCCCTCCAGCTAGAACAGGGAACTAAGAAAATCTCACTTGCTTATGGGAACCCGATCTATCTAAGAACCACCCGCTATTGCAATAGAACACGCTCTATGGCTGGGGACACCTTGAACCGGAGTGTCGCGACATTGGTTTCTGGCGATCAATTTCCCAATCGGGTAATTATTTAATAATTTTACTACAAGTAATTTGCCAAGATTATCCCTTGGCGCTCTCAGAGGAGGAACTTCTACTCAATTTGGACTATAGCTTTCCTAACTGGGTAATTAATCTGGCCCGAATAGGGAATTATGGGTGCGACATTGCTTGGGTCCCCCACCAAAAGTCCAACTTTTAGAAAATTCATAGCACCACCACAACGAAAGATAGAATTAATCAAGCTCTGTCATATTGTAGAGGAGAATAAGAACGATTGAATAACAGAGAGAAAAATAAATTAGAGTGTGGTTGGGGAAATTCATTAGCGGTTGAAGTTGACTCCCGAAACCACTCTGGTTCAAGGTGTCCCCAGCCATATTGCTTATGAGAAGTCGTCTATTCTTCCCTCAGGTTACCCCACCCCATTTTCAGCTCCGCTTTGCGTCTCGCTGTCTCCTCTCTCCAGTCGGTGTTTCCATTTTAGGAATTGGCTCCAGATGTTCCTCCAGTTGTGGGCAGCGAACTCATGAGCATTTGACAATTAACCCGGATCCCAATGTTTTCAGTCCAGTTCGGTTCGTTAGTCTTGAGACTCATTCCTCAATTAATAGTGTAGTCTACGTAGGTGGTTTCCCTGGCGGCTATTCGGACACCCACCTCACTCGGACAGAGTTAACGTAGAGAGGAGAAGATCAACGTTGTAAGTCCGAGTGGCTAGAGAAGTCGTCTATTCCTAAGAGAATAAAAGTCACTGCATGTAGGTTACAGTTTGTATAATTATATAAATCAGTCCAGCTGCCTCCGCGAGAGGGATTTATTCTGCAACTCACTCCACCGCACCTTTACACACATAAAAATGGGGGTACTTTCTGAACTCCTCGAGGCGTACCCGATTTCAGTCCCGGTTTTACTCGGATTATCTGTTTTCTTCTTTGTCGAGCAGGCGACGAGATCCAAGGCAAAGCTTCCATTCGCAGGGACTTGGTCATCGGATTTTTTGAGCCTATGTTATGGATGTTTGAAGTTCGTGAAATATGCTAGAAGTATGTTGGATGAAGGATACTGCAAAGTAAGTATTTTATGCCAAGGTAAATTATGCAAATATGTACCAGGATACATATAATTGACTAGATTGGTTCTTAGTTCCCAAATACACCGTTCCAGGTACCGACCCCCGCAGGAACTAGGGTTATAGTTCCGCCAAAGTTTGTGAAGGAGCTGAGGAACTATCCAAATTCCAAACTGAGTTTTAATGCTGCTATTTATGATGTGAGATTATATTGAGACTGTGTGGTTAAAGTAAGCAATGGTATATTAACATCATTAACAGGTTATGAATCTAAAGAAAGTTGGGCTATATTCCCTAGAGGAAGATAATACTCCTCATCAGATGTTGACTAGAGCACACCTTACATCTAATCTTGGTATGCCCTTTGATTTAATTTTGGTATGTAGCAATAGCGTGTATGAGCTTGAAGCTAACTCTAAAGCGCCACAGCAAAACTTATTCCCCCAATACTTGATGAATCCAAATACGCATTTCAAGTTGAGATTGGGTCAGCCGAAGGTAAATTACTCGTAGGTAATAATAGGTCTTATGACCCAGCTGACACCTGCAACAGAATGGAAAGCCGTACCCCTTCATTCGACTATGACTCGTATTGTCGCCCGCATTTCATCTCGCCTTTTCGTTGGTGAGGAAATCTGCCGCAACGAGGACTGGCTCCGCATCTCTATTGGATTTTCGACAGACGTCTTCAGCAACGCATTCTCCATGTTTCTCTTCCCCAGCTTTATCCGACCCCTCGCAGCCTACCTGTTACCATTCCAGCGTAGGGTCCGCCGCCAAAGAATGGAGTCGCGAAAGATTCTGGGCCCAACTTACAAGCAGCGACTAGCAGATAGAGAGGCAGGTAAGCCGAAGGTTGAGGATGGGTTTGATTGGATGATATCCAGTGCGGATCCCAAGTGGCAGAACGTAGATGATCTGGTCGATTTCCACCTGGCCCTGCAGTTGTCGGTGATCTACATACCGACGAATACACTGGTTGGCATGATATATGATTTGGCCGCACGACCGGAGTATATTGAACCACTACGGGAGGAGATTATACAGGCCGTTACGGAGGATGGCGGGCAGCTGAAGAAATCAACGCTGGCGAAGATGATGAAGGTGGATAGCTTCATGAAGGAATCTCACCGGTTCAACGCCGTTTTGAGTGAGTAGTTTTTTTTTTTTTTTCCTGATTTTCCATTCAGTGTAGTAGTTATAGTAGATTAGTAGCTGACCTAGTGCAAAGCCTCCTTCACCCGAAAAGCCATGCAGTCTTTTGACCTCTCAGATGGGACCCACATCCCCGCAGGCTCCATGCTCGCAACATCCGCGGTTTCTGCCCATTTCGACTCGACATACCATCAGAACCCGGAGGAGTTTGACGGATTCCGCTTCTACAAGATGCGACAGCAGACGGGTGAAGTCAACAAGCACTTATTCGTGTCCACCTCCCCTACGGAGATCAATTTTGGATACGGGGCCCACGCTTGCCCCGGGAGGTTCTTTGTGGCTAACAAGATGCAGCTGCTGCTGATCAGGGTATTGATGAAGTATGACTTCAAGTATCCTGAGGGTAAGGGTAGGCCAGAGGATATGGTGTTGGGGGACGCAAGGATGATGAATACAGCGGGAACCTTGATGATGAAGGAGAGGGTAGATGTGCCCAATTGGGACTTTTTGTGATGAACTAGAGGCGGGGGTGGGGGGTGGCTTCTTTGGTTTATTTTTGGACTTGTACAATTGTAATTTCTTTTGTTAAGAAGGTTTAAATTTACCACATATATTATTGTGAAGAGAAAGTGATATGAGCCCCAAGGGTTGGTGGGAGAAACAAGGGCCCGCTCAGGGCAGAGTACCCTGCTATGGTATACAGTCGCACCTCACTATCCCGGATCTCAATATCTCGGATTCCTTGCTCTCCCGTACGAAATCCTCTGGGATTTTAATCCTCTTGCTGCGAAATCGATTTGCTATCCCGTATGGAAATTGTCTGGTTCTTGGCATCCGGCATAGCGAGGTGCGACGGTAATAGCAGCTAATATCGTTAGATTTTTATCGCTTTTGTAATTGTGGCTGAGCGCCATATATACTTATTCTGTCAATATGTCTCAACAAATCTTTCCTTATCTAAAGTGGTGTTGAGTCTTGCAGCTGAGACAAAACCCATGCATCGTTACGTATACCCTTAATTCGTAATATGGCGAAAAACGCTAGTGTCCACCAAATGGTGGTGACTTTTGCCTGCAGAATATCAACCCATTGATCTCACACCTAAATCGATTCCTAGAGCTCGACTATGGATGGACGATGACCAGACAAAGCGATAGCCTCTAACCTACACCTAACCACGGGTGCTGCTATAATGCACATCACCGTCGAGGCCTCGCACACTCACCTGTGATTGTAGAGAGGAGTCATGAGATATCACTCGTCCACGCGCACGCCAAGCCCGCAGCTTATATAACGCGCGCGGGAAGTAATATATACACGATAAACAGAAACAGCCCACCAACCAGCAGCGCCGGATACATATGGAACGGACCACAGCAAACCTACAAACTCATTCTTTCTCTCTTTCTCTCCGCCTGGGAGACTATACCGCACGTTGGTCAGGGCGCGCGCACGACGTGCCGGTTGGTTTTGTTTAGTGGTGGGCGGCCGGATCCAATTGGTGGTACATGCAGTCATAACTGCGGGGTGTGTGTGTGTGTGTGTGTGATGTACCATCGATCGAGTGATAACCCATGATCCGAATTTCCCTAGCGTAACGCACAGCCTAGACTTAGACCTAGGTGTGGCCGTTTTTTTTTTTTTTTTTTTTTTTCCCTCTTGCGATTGAGGGCCGTTGGGATGTGTGCGTCTATGGTTATGGCTCTAGGCCAAGGTGGTCGTGGGGAGTGGGCGCAGGTAGATTAAACGATGTGGCCATGGGTGGATGCCGGTGGTGCTTTTGCGGGTTTTTTGAGGGAGGCGGTGAAGGAGTGAGGAAGCGATAGAGTGTCCAGTGGTGGTGGTGGTGACTTGGCCATTTACAGGCGCCCGGCCCATTCTATGGTGCCGCTTGGTCGGGTTTCGGAAAGTAATCTCTCTACTACGCACAGTTCGGTACGTTGAAACTGCGCACATCAGCTGCACGTGCACACCAAATCCAAACATCAAATTCCACACACCATATAAACCTACACACAATACCGTCAACCACAATGTCGCCCATGATGTGCACCCAAACTAAATACGACCCTCCCTTTTCACCCCCATCTCCTCCTCCTCCTTCTCCTTCGCTACGTCACACCAGACAGCAACGGCGCGCAAATCTCAATGCTGCGATTAAGGTCATTGAAAAGTTGGAGGCTAGGGTTAATGGGATGCGGAGAAATACGAAGGAGACAGTGGTGATATTTGAGGGTTTGCGGGAGGTGCGTATTTTCCTTTTCTTTTTGGTTGATTGGTTGATTGGTTGGGTTGGGCTGGGCTGGGCTGGGCTGGGCTTGGGTTGGGTTTGGATCGAGTTAGAGTTGTTGCTAACGAGTGCTTTTCGGTAGAGTTTAACGGATACTCCGGCAGAGGCGGGGGAGCAGAAAGAGGATGAGGAGGAGACTAAGAGGGGAGAGGTGGGGGCGATTGTCAAGAGGGAAGTGGTGAAGAAAGTGGTGCTGAGGGTGTCCGTGTAGGGGCTCAAGGGAGAGGGACTGGATGCGTAGTGGAGGTGTAGTGGAGTGATAGCTATATGTACGTGTAGTCACACAGTATACGTACATGTAGTGGATAAACCCAACTAACGAGCCAGCTAGGCTGAGATGGTGCAAGTGGTGGTTAGCGTTCTGTGTGTCAATGATTTGTTACAGGGATTTGTGCAGCAGCTAGCTGGATCAGCGCGAATAAATGCTAAACTCTAAACTCTAAACTCTAAACTCTATGTTCTGGCTGTACTGTCGGTGCCGCTACCTGTGGCATAGATTTGCAAAATGAGACCAGCTGGTATGTACATGTAGTTTTAAAAAACTCAAAACCTGCGTCTATGGCACAACACAGACACCACCGCCCAAGCACATGTAGTAGACCCCTCCACCCTCCACCCTCCACGCCACATACCACAAGTATCCCGTAGCATCCACCCCGCGCCCCCGAGCCGGGCCGCAACCTACAAGGATACACCAAGCCCGTCGCGCCGATCCCATACGGCGCATAACGTGGCATGCGGCGTAGCCAGCCACATACCCACCCCACCGGCGCCACAGCCCCCCATACGCCCAGCAAGAGCACAGGTACGACAGCAGCAGCCAGGCACTAGGTTGAAACAATCAAGTACATGTAGGTACCTCGGATGCAGTGATACCTCCCCCCCTCACCCACCCCCGCCGCCATTGTGCGTCATCGACGATCACTCGGTAGCGATAAGCGATTCGATTCGTCCCCGGCCCCGAGAACATGGGGGCTGAGGGGGCACGCACGGTACGGTACGATGCGGGCGGGCTCATGCCTTGGGTTTTGGGTTGGGGTTATGGTTCCTGGCGTGGAGGGTTGCTTTCTATTTAAAGTAGGGGTACTATACATGAGGGTATATATAACAACCCATCTCTAGCTTACCCGTTTGATACGGCCCATGACCACCCATTCTCTACAAGCGTTATATATACTCCGAAAGAACTCAAGCTTTTACTCTGCGAAGAAGAAGATGTACTTCCGCATCCTCCAATGCCCCACTGCGCGCGCGCCGACGCCGCCGCATCCGTATTACTACTATCGGCATACCCCCTCGTCTTCATCGTCGCGTGCGTTATTAGAGCTACAGGAGGGGGTGCTGGTGGAGGAGAAGGCGCATGTGCCGTACTACGAGCACCAGTATAACAAGGAGCGGCGGCGGCAGCAGCAGCGCGGGAAGGAGAGGCTGAGGAGTGGGGAGACGGCGGTGAGGAGGTTGGGGGGGAGAAGGTGGCTGGTGGTGGGGTGGGAGGAGGAGGCAAGGTGGGGGGCTTGATGGCGGGGGGTGGGTTTTCTTTCTTTTTCTGGTGGTTTTTTTCTGGGGGGGAAGGGGGAGTTCTTTGTGAGGGAGTTCTTTGTGGGAGAGCCTTTTTTCTGGAGGGGCGTATTGGGCGTTTTGGGTTTTATTTATTTATGTAAATGTGTTTGGAATAGAGAATGCCTACTGTTCACCTCCGTTACGTCCTATATATTAGGCAATATGCGCTTGGCAGTGGTATGTGTCCTGGTTGACCGAATACCGCATCTCCATATAAACCACCTTTCCTATGGCACTTGTAGTATCAGTACCAATCACCCGGGGAGCTCAGGAAGACGTCTTGTGATTACAGGGTTAGGTGTTGTCGCCCTCCCTTAAGTATTACTTCCCGGCCTCTGTCAATTGTGCGGGTGAGCGTTGTCTATTGGTAGACGCCTCGTCAACGGAGGACACCGAGCGGGTTGAGCCCCCATGACCATCAGTAGGTCATGGATTCAACCCCGAGGGGTGGGAGTCTATACTGGCGTTACGTGCAATAAATGGCACTCACCACCCTGAACAGCGTATTCTTCAGCAAGACTTTTTGTTCTTTTTAGCTTCTCGTACGTTCATTACATGCATGTAGCTGTCCCCCCTCCCCCCCGTCCCCCCCATACCTTTCCAATCTATACTCTTTTGTAAAATACATGTAGTAGATGCCAGTTCAATCACAGGCTGTCACTCGTCAGTTGACGCCAGGAACGTTACATACATGTCGACCTGGCAGGTTAGTCGACGGTTACGTGGCTGGACTCGGTCAAGCATATGTGTTCTGTCGTTTCAGGGAGCCTATAAAACTACGCTGTGGCGGCTACTTGATTGAATCATCATCATCATCGTCATCATCCTCATCATCATCATCATCTTCATCCTGCATCGAGCAAGACTTCCGATAGAGAGAGAGGCCTCGAAGTTCATACTTCACCAATAGCCTGGAAACGTCAACATCCTGTGAGTTCAAACATCTAAGCCCACTGCCCACTAGATATGGTTGATACTCTCTTTTCTTACATTGCAGATTAGGGGCCTCCTCAGCAATCTCGTCTCGATCCGAAATAATTCCTGCATGCATGTCCGGATACCGCGTGTATCTAGGGTTAGGGTTTGTCAACAGCCACCGCTTGCAGTGAAGCAGCCATTATGTCCTTCCTAGAAACCCCAAAACTACTTTTGCCTCGATTCCGTGGTATTCTGCTGAAACTGAGCGAGTTCTAGCTGTGTCTCTCTATTTGCAGACCTGCGTTTGTTATCGTCTGCCCCAGGGCTTTACGCGTTGCACCAAGCGCGTCGAAACCAATTTGCGGCACCCCCGAACACGTCTCCCCCAACTCAAACCTCCACGCCCGCAATCGCTCAATCCTCACCTCCGCCCACAACCTCACGATACCTCACGATACCTCACGATACAGAACCTACACATATATCACGAACCCACAAAGACCATATATCTACAGCAATGGATGAAGACCTCACATCCTACTTCGGCCCCCTCCCTGCCGACGTCGCCCCCGAGCTGCACTCCATGCTGCGCCTCCACAACATCAGCGCCGAGGAGCTCTTCTACAAGTGGGAGTCCTACTGCATGAAGATGGGCCCCGACACGCGGCCCACCCCCGACACCGTCGCCGCCTTCCGCAAAGACGTGCGCGAACAGCTCGAGAAGGATGTGCGCGCCCGCAGCCGCACCCAGCAGCACCAGACCCCCGCGCGCCGGAAGCCCGCACCCGCAGGCGGTGCAGACTGGATGATGGACGGGCTGACCCCCAGCGTCAAGCGCAAGTCTGACAAGGGGTACGGGACGCCTGTGAAGGCGTCGCGGGGGCCCAGTGGCGCCCCCGTGAAGGGGGGGGCGCCGTCAGTGTTTGCGGCGAGGACGAATGCGGGGGAGGTGGTGGAGGTGCTGAATGAGCACCTTCCGCAGCCGGCGATGCCGCAGGCGGGGGCGGAGGGCGGGTGGGAGGCGCGCGTGCGGCTGGTGGCGAATATGGATATCAAGCGGTTTGGGTTCCGCACAATGCACCAGAAGCTGACGGAGGCGTCGGAGGTGGTGGACGAACGCATCGACGACATGATGACGGTGGTGCAGGAGCACCACGGGCTCGCCGACGAGCAGTTTGGGAACCCGTCGACGGCGTCGCCGGCGGAGGTCGTTGCCGTCGGCCGCATCGTGTCGGACTTCCTCGACGGCAAACTCAACCCCGCGTCCGTCCTCCTCGAGGCCTCGCGGAGAATGGGTGCCGGTGCGAGAGTCCCGCTGAAGCTCGACGCCGTCAACAGCTTCTCCTTCTTCCCCGGCCAGATTGTGGCCGTGCGCGGCGTCAATGCCAGCGGCGCCTACTTTGCCGTCACGGAGATCCTCGACATCCCGCCGCCGCCGCTCCCCGCGTCCACCGCCGAGACACTGGCCGAGTCTGCCTCGCGCCTGGCTGGCGCCCCGCTGTCCGTCGTGGTGGCGTCTGGCCCATACACGACAGAGGACAATCTGGACTTCGAAGCCCTCGACGAGCTCTGCGAGCGAGCGGCGCGCGAGCGCCCCGACGTCGTGATCCTCACAGGCCCGTTCATAGACTCTGAGCACCCGCTCGTCAAGGCCGGCGATTTTGAGGTGGAGCGCGAGCGAGGTGGGCCAATCGCCGACCTCTTCCGCGAGCGCGTGAGTACAAAGATCCAAAAGATTGAGAACAGCATGGTGATCCTTGTGCCGGCCGTCACCGACGCCATCAGCACGCACGTCGCGTATCCGCAGGACAAGTTCAAGAAGCGCTTTCTCGAGCTGCCCACTGTATGCCGCCCTCCCCTCCCCCCTCTTCCCCTCGAGTGATGCCCTGTGACGCACCAAACTAACGCAGATGGACAGAACGTGAAGCTGCTCCCCAACCCCGCCACCTTCTCGCTCAACGAGGTGGTCTTCGCCGTGTCCACGCCCGACATCCTCCTGCACCTGTCGTCGGCCGAGTGCCGGCGCAACCCGTCGGAGCCACACCCTATCGCGCGGCTGTCGCGGTCACTCATGGCCCAGCGTAACTATTACCCGCTGTTCCCGCCGGCGGAGGGCGTGAATATGGATGTGCCGTATTGCAGGCTGGCGGACTTTATCAATGCGTGTCGTCCGGATGTGTTGGTGCTGCCGAGTGTGTTGGCGCCGACGGCGAAAGTGGTTGGGGGCGTGGTGGTGCTGAATTCTGGGGCGGCGAGTAGGAGAAAGGCGGCGGGGAACTGGGTGCGGTTGTGGGTGGGCGCTGGGGCGGGGGGAGAGGGGGAGGGAGGGGAGGTGAGGGGGCATAGGGTGTTTGAGAGGGTGAGGGTGGAGGTGGTGAGGGTTTAGATGGGGGTTTTGTCGCTTTTTCTTTTGTTGTGTTTTTGTTTTTTTGTTTTGGGATAGTTTAGAGGGGGGTGGGTAATGATACCATGCATAACGTGGTGGTGAATAGTAGTTTTTTCTTCCTCCTCTTTTCGCTTCTCGTAGTGATACTGCATCATGTATACTGCTAGAATTAATAGGTTGTGACGCTGATCATGGCTTCTCATCCACTGGTCCGGTCCGACCTTAACCAATGTAGTTACAGTCTACATGACTAGGCCAGCTAAATGTAGGTGTAAATGTAGTTACAAGTAGTCTATAAGCCCTCTTTTTCCTTTTCCTCTTTCTTCTCTTTTATTTCTGTTTCGCAATGCCTCGAAGACGACGTCGTGGTAGATTGACAGCTCAGGGTGAGGTATCCCCAGAAAGCACTTTTTTGTCATTTTCTGGAGCTTATTGGGGCTCTCCTCGTGTGGTTACATAGATGCATGGCCAGGGGAGGGGAGAGAGAGAGCCAATGATCGGATTTACCGGAAAACTAGACTGGCTACCCGCCCGCCCCCCTTCGGCTTTGTGTATGCTTCTGGCTATGGGGAGTGCTAACCTAAGTTTTTTATGCTTGGTAGGTAGGCGCTTGGGTATATAACCCCAGAGCCCGAATTTAAGGGATTGGGGTGGTCGAGTGATGGGCTGTGATACGGCATGCATATGGGTTTGAGGGAGGCTTGGCGATTCGATAGTGACTTGTGTCCGTTTTGGTCATGGCACGTTTTGGCGATTGATCCTGAGTTGAAAAAAAGTGCATGTGTAACTTAGACTCGATAGTCCTCATGCATATCATATCGATCGATGCAGTAATTTTGCAAACCCGTGTTCTCACGCAATCCATTGTGCTTCGAGACCAATGGATTGGTCCGGTCGGGGGCGAGGTTTCTGGTCGAGGCGGTGTTTTGGCGCGAGTGGCTGGATGCTGTGTTGTAGAGCGCATGGGGATCTAAGCATGCATCGCGTTTGGAAGGAATTTTGGCTTGAAATAGGATTGCGTCTCGTAACAGAGAGAGAGACGGAGCGCTGAAACAGAAGGGACCACAAAGCAGTAGAATACAACACGAGTACTTATACTAGAACGCAACCCAAGTGCTAGCTAATCTTGGGAACCTCATGATGATATGAGTGATCTACAGAATTAACAGGATATGGTGAAGAGCATCCGGATAGAAATACTAGCAACAGCTAGGGTATGTGGTGCAAAGTGATGCATTAATAAGGAAAAAAGAGAATAGATAGATAAACAAATAGATATGAAATACTAGTAGAGCTAGGAACCTCATTGAAAAATATTGCGGAAAAAAGAGTTTTCTGTATAAATAAGTGAGTAAGAAAAATTAAAGAGATGAAACAGATGAAAGACATGAGACGAAATAATAAACTAGTATAAGAAAATAAATATGAGAGAAAAGTCGAAACTAATTGAATACCTGAGAACAAATTAAGAGAATAAAGCAAAAGAAGAGAAGAAATGAAAGAAAGAAATTCAAGAAAAATAAAAATAAAAATAAAAATAAACCAAACGTAAAAGATGATAGAATTGAAAGTACACGAGGGCCACTCATACTCGTACCGATGCGGTATCAGTTTTACCCCCATTTCTGATACTGTATGGATCATGGCTGAGCAT